TTTTTAAAAATGTATTATATTTGAGGAGGAAGCATGGAAATTTATGTCATGCTAATTAGTAGAGGTGATAAACATTACCATTGAAATCTACCTGATGACTTTATAGATATATGCAGGCACCAAGGATCCAAGTGCAAACAATTATGACTAGTAATAATCAGATACATACAGATTTGAGATGCATGCGCCAATCTCTCTGTGTTAGTAGCAAAAACAATGAGTCTTTCTGCAAGGGACAGTGTATTCTAAAATGAAATGGAGATCTTTTTTAAAGGTTAAAAACTCATCCAATTTTATGTCTTACAGGGTTTATACTGAGTTTAATAATCTATAACTGTATTAATTCAACTGTGAACCTAGAATCTCACACCCACTTGTGAAAGAGATGTACACTTGCTCTGAAGTGTGTTACTGAATATCTTAAAGCTGTAGTGAAATGTTTCTTCTAATCATGTAGCTTATTAAAAATTTTTAAAAAATGATTAAAAAGAATAATTCTTCAAAGCAAAAAAAAATTACCACAAATATTATCATCATCGTCAACACCACCAACATCATTATCATTACCATCATTAACATCATCAGTATGACCATCAGCATCATCAGCAGGATCAGCAGCACCAGCATCACTACTGTCATTAACAGTATCTCCACCACCAGCATCATCACCAACAATCCCATTATTAGCAATATCATACCTAATATCATTAACACCATTATCATCACCATCATCACTATTACCACTAATACCACCATGAACACCATCATCACCATCATAATTAACACCATCCCCATCAGCATCATCAACAACACCATTATTTTCACTTCCATCGTCAGCATCATTACTATCACCATTATTAACACTATCACTGTCAACACCATCATCATCATCATGGTCATCCAACATGATCACCATCAGTATCATCATTGCTTCTCACCAACATCACCATCACCATTACCAGCGACAGCATCATTATCACCAGCATCATCACCACCACCACCAATATCATCACCACCATTAGCATTATTATGACCAACACCACCATCATCATCACCACCGTCATCATTAACACCATTATTACTATCATTAACACTATCACATCTATCATAAATGGTATCAAGAACACCACTGCTATCAACATCATCACCATCGCCATCTCCACCACCAAAAGCAGGGACAATATCAACACCATCACCACAAGAATATAAAATCTGACGGCAAAGATTCCTTTGTGCTCTCTTGTGTACTCCCAGGGCCTGGCACAAAAAAAAAAGTGCTCAATGAAGATTTTTCTTTTACGTCATTGTTAAACTTACTATATATTCCATTCTTGAGTGTACAGTATCAGTTGTGTTGACATTTTGGGTCCCCTTTTAAAAGGGTGCACACACCTAAGTGCACACATAGGCACTTACCTGTGGTGCTGGAGGAGGATAGCATCCCAGAGGTTCCAAGTTTCACTGTGGTGGTTCCAGGAGCTGAAAAGAAGCCTTCATGAGTGGAAAAACAAGATAATCTCACAGCAGAAATGCTATGAGACATTATTTATGCAACTTTCTTCACATGGAGCTTGAGATGGGACTGCCTTGGAAGCACAGTCAGGGAGATAGTGACTAACTTTACCCTCACACCTCCCATGCTCCTGACAAAGAACATAGGAGGCAATAGGAAGGGTCAACTCCTGCTCTACTTGGTGTAGAATGGGGTATCACCGAGACATATGTTGAACACTCACTGCTGGTGATGTGTGCAGAGCTCTCACAGGTGAAACCTGTAGTAACAACAGAGGAGAATAGACAGTAAGGTTTAAGGAAGGGAGGGGTGCTGTTATGTTTCAACTGTAAAATGGTCCCCATGAACTTGTGTGTTTGAACAATTAGTCTCCAGCTGGTGACACTGGAGAGGCTATGAAATCTTTGAAACATGGGACCTAGCTAGTAGACAAATAAACGGAAAGTAAGTTTTGAAAGATATACTACCCTAGCATCACTGCTTCCTGATATGTCACAATGTAACAAACAACACCACAAGTTTCCAGTGCCACAGCTGAGACTGCTACCACCACCATACGGCTACCCTGTCATGATGGACAATCTTTTCCTTTAAAAAATAAAAGATTATTTTTTTATGTGCATGTAGGTCTGCATGAATTTATGTGTTCCATGTATATGCAGGAGCTGCTGGAGGCCAGAAGAAGATGCTGGATCCCCTGGAGCTAGAGTTGCAGGCAGTTGTGGGCCAAGATGTGGGTGCTGGGAAGTGAACCCTGGTCCACTTCAAGAGCAGTTATCACCCTTAACCACTGAGCCATCTCTCCAACGCTTGGCCTGTTTTTTCTGAAACTGTGAGTCAAAATAAGCATCTCCTCCCTTAAGTTGCTTCAGCTAGGCATTTGTGACTAGAATAGTAGCTAACACATGTGTCAAAGAGGAGCAAGAATAGCTTGGTGCAATGGAGGGGGAATTCATGAAGAAAGAACTATGGGTGATTCTCTATCAGAACCCTCACATTAGATAAAGGTGAAATTAGTTCATGAGGGAAATATGCGCTCCCAACTTGAGCACCTAATTGAGCACATGGCCAAGTCCCCAAGGCCCAGGCAGGGAGGGTGACCATAAACCATAGAGCAGATGCCATCTACCTAAGAGAAAGAAACTCCAACCATATCCCAAATGCTCACCATTAACATAGAGACTATTCATGTCCAGGGTGTAAGGATCCAAGCGGGTGACATCATAGGTCAACCAGCTCAACTCCCAGTACAGCTGCTCCCAGTCCAGTCTGTGCCCTTTGGGGTCAGGGTGGTATGTGCACACAGTGTCCACTCTGGTGGCTGCTCCATCTCTCTGAGACCTGGATAAGTATCAAATATAGTTCGATTGACTCTGTCTCACTGTTTGTTCTTCCCTGCTTCTTTTTGCTAGCCCCTAACTCAGAAACTTAGGACATAGTAGTTTATAGCGAAGCTGTCTTTGGCGAGACACACACCTTAAACAATAATTAAGATCATGACAGCCCTCTGCATGTCATAGAAATCTCCTAAAACATGATATATATGACAGATAGAGAGAAGGTATTGATGAGGGAGAGAGAACCTAAATAATACCAGGACAGCCAAGTTCTATGACCGATTTTAATGGACAAAAGGTCCTGAAGGTCAAGTTACAATGGGTGGCAATACCTCAGAATAGCTGGTCATAACATTGTACTTCCAAGACTTGGCATGATCAGAAGACTACCATAGGTCCTGTGTGGTAGCAAGGCTGAGGGATTTTAAAGAAATTCATGGTTCTGCTATAGGCCAGGAAAGATGCTCATTTACTGAATCTGTCTGAAAGAGCATTCAGTCTGGTTGGAAGGCCTCATCTTACCATCCACTTATCCTCCATTCTTCTTTCTTTCTTTCTTTCTTTCTTTCTTTCTTTCTTTCTTTCTTTCTTTCTTTCTTTCTTTCTTTCTTTCTTTCTTTCTTTCTTTCTTTCTTTTTGGCCCCATCTGTCCAGGAACACGCTATGTAGACCAGGCTGGCCTGGACCTCAAAGAGATCTGCCTGCCTCTGCCTCCTGAGTGCTGGGGTTAAAGGGGTTAAAGACATGCCCAGGGCATGCTCAGCACTATCCATTGTTTTGGGGTATATGGTATTAGAGGTTTTTTATTTGTTTGTTTTTGATGACTTTTTGAGACAGGTTCTCCCTGTAGCCTCAGAGACCAGGTTGGCTTTGAACTCACAGAGATCTGCCTGCCACTGCCTCCTGAGTAATGGGATTAAAGGTGAGTACCACCACATCAGGCTAGGGTATTATTAGAGTTTTAAACCCAAGGTCTCATACATGATATGTAAGCACTCTACTACCGAGCCACACCCTCAACCCTTGTTGTGGGAATCTAGGTAGGCACTCTATCACTGAGCCACGCCCCCAGACCCCCTCTGGGGGATTCTAGGCAGGGGCTCTACCAGTGAGGCAAGCGCCCAGGTCTCCTCACTGGGGGATTGTAGGCAGATTCTCTACTGCACTGGTGGTTTCTTTCACTGAGGCAAGTCACTAGTCAATCTTTCACTGGGGCGGTCACTGGTAGATTCTAAGTAGGTGCTAGTCTAATAAGCCATGCCCCCAGCCCCTCACTGGGGGAGTCCTTGCAGGGGCTCTACTGATGATCTGTATTCCCAGCCTTTTCTGCAATTTTTTATTTTGAGACAAGGTCTCACTGAGTTTTTCAGACTTGCTTTCACTCACTTTCTCCGAACCTAAGTTTCCCTTTCTGTTTCTATTTCACGAGGCTGCCTCTTGAGTAGCTGGCATGACAGGCCCGTACCAGCATTCATTCTTCGATTCAGTTACACACCCAGTGGAAGAAGTGCTCCCATGCCCCATGGCTGTGGATTCAATTCTTCTTAGAGTAACAATTACCATGTACTGAATATTTATCATATGAGGGACTCAGCTCTCTGTATTCATAACTGCACCATTCAGCCTCAGAACATTCTTAATGGGATTATATTGCTCAGTTCCTATAGTGAGTCTCATACTTGTCATATATAACAGAACACAATATATAAAATACCAACTATTATAAATACAGATGCAGGTATGGAACAGGCTCCAGTGAATGAACTCACACCGAGGGACATCTGAGAACACAAATGTGACTGAAAGGCCTTAACATATATGACAGAATGCATGAAATCCAATGGACAAACTGTCACGCAGATAGCGAGGGTGGTCTAAATATGATTAAGATGTATTGTATGAAATATGCAAAAATTCAATAAAAGTGTATGTTGAAAAAAATGCTGAGATTACAAGTATGTGCCACCATGTCTAACCATTAGTTATTATTACACAAGAAAGTAAAAGCAATAGTTATTTACTTGCATGCCAGTCAAATTAATTTTTGAAATAAATCTTTGTTTTATTTTTTATAATACCATGCTTTTATATAAGTAAATTGCTAACATAGATACATATAGTAAATCTTAATCAAAGACTTGGGAGCCAGCAAGATAGCTCAGTGTGTCAAGGCCTTGCCACCAAGCTTGCCAACCTCAGTTCAATCCCTGGGACTCACATGGTGGATTCCTACAAGTTGTCTTCTGACACACATGCCTTGGCATATGTGTATGCATGTGTGTAAAAGCAAACACTAAATAAACAAATCTAAAAAAATTCAATATGTAAATACATTAGATATTTTGTATTTTATACATTATTGCATTATAATTACGTTGTAGACTACATTATTATGCCTAGTACACTTTATATCTACATTAAGCTAGTTACATATAACTATTTTATGTACTTATGGAGATGGAACCCAGGGCTTACCACAGGGTACACAAACATACTAACCCTGAACAACAGTCCCAACCCTACATAGTCCCTTTTTTGGTAGTACTAGGGATCGAATCCAGGGCCTTGTGCATAGTATACGTGCGCTCTACCAGTGAGCTAGAGCCTCAACCCCTGTATAATTATTATATGTAAGTACTTTATAAGTCATTTACATAATTAACTACTATGCATAATATTTACTTTCTATTAAATATATATACCAGTTATACACACACACACACACACACACACACACAGACACACACAGATACACACAGGCATGCATTGCTATATGTATGTGTTGGGATTTAGGACCTGCAATGTTGAGACTGCTCTGTCGGACCTGACACAAGACAAATAAGTTTATCTGCACCTCACGTTTCCTTTTTGTTACTGCTTCATGAGGCTCTTGCTGGGACTGAGGAACTAATAAATATAAAGTACACAGTGCAAGGCCTTGGGTCTTAGTAATAGCTGTTGGTATTGCTGACATTTCCTATTAATAGACTGCAGTGGTTGCAAGTACTAGGAGTCAGAGAACCCATTGCTCATGGTCTCATCCACCTGTTGGACCGAGTTTTTATTGGGATGGTCTCACCTGAGTAAGATCAGTCTGCAGCCTGAATAAAGGGATCCCAGACTGCTATTCTTGAACAAGGGTTCCAACTAGGAGGAAGGAAGGAAAGAGAAAATGAGCAAAAACTGCTCAGCACAGCCAGGAGGAGCTGGGGCCTTGGTAGGATGTATTCTGAAGGGATGACGCAGGTGAAGCTCGAACTAGTGGGAGACTTGCATGAGGTGGGCAAGGCTGTCACCAGTCTGCATGAGATAGGTGGGGAATCAAATGCATGGGCATGATCAGAGCAGTGGGTGAGGCTTAGATGCTATGGGCAGAGCTCTCACCAGATTCTGGAGGGCTTTCTCTGTGGTGTTAAAATTCCTGGATCCCGAGTATGACATGTCTTCCTTGAACTCCAGGTTAGTGATGGTGAAGTTGAGGGTGAAATGAGCCAGGACAGGCATAACCACTGCAATTGGGGAAGAGAAAAGAAGGTCAGGTCTATGTTATACTCCATCTTAGCACTAAGCAAACTACTGAGGATAAAGACAGGAGGAATGTCTGAAGCAGGTACCAAGAACCTGGTAAGGTTCACACACACACACACACACACACACACACACACACAAGCCCAGGTAATGGCAACTGTGTTATTTTTAAAGAAAAGAGGTTCCAGTGCATAACTGTGGAAAGCTAAACACTGAGGCAAACCAAGCTTCTAAACTAGTGAGAATATGGAGCATAGAATCAAAATGTTTGACCACGCTGTTGCTAAAATACGGTAAAAGCAGGTTAGAAACCCAGACACAGGTAAAGGGACTTGTAAGTGGATGAACCAGACCAACTGGCCGGGAACTGGGGTGTAGCCCTAACATGCTCTTATCAAAGGGTAAAAGAAATAACATCAGAAAAAGCTTGAAGTTTGGGAAAAAAAAAAAAAAGAACAGAGGAAAAAAAATGAGTTCAAGCCCACTTAAACTTTTTAAAGATCAGTCAAACTGTGGCTATTACTGAAGCCCCCTCTTACCTACTCAACCTGCTAGCTTCTCCTCACATTCTCCCAGTGTTACCAGAACCTGTCCTTTAAAGAACACACTACATTGTAGAGGCTTTGTTGCCATGGTTATATGACACTGGTGGCTTAGATTTGGTTTTAAAATACCCTCTGTGGCCTTCACCATCCATATGACTGTAGAGCTGTTACTTGCACATACCTCAGTTTCATCTGCTGTAAAATAAAAACAATGACACTTTTTTATGTATATGCAGGTATTGCCTGCCTGTAGGTTAGTGTACCCGTGTCATGTGACAATGACAGTTTGTAAAAGAATTATAAAGACTTCATGGGTGTATAAAAGAAAAAAAATCAGTAGATATCAGCCGTGTGCCATGATGCATGTCTATAATCCTAGCATTCAGGAAGCAGAGGCTGGCCTGGGCAACCTAGCAAGATCATGTATCAAAACAAAATAAGAAACAAGGGTTCTGGATGTAGTTTAATGGTAGAATATTCATGTAGTATGGTCATAGGTTTAGCACTGCCAAAAAAGAAAAGGAGAGAAAGAGGGAGAGAATTTGTGCTGAGTGAAAAAAAAAGCCAATCTCAAGAGTTATATCTTCTGTATTTTCATTTATATAACATTCTCAATATAAAATTACTACAGAGAGGGAAAACATATTAGTGATTGCGGTTTAATTGGTCTGATAGGAATCTTTGTAGGGATGAAACAGTTTTAAACCTTGATTGTGGTGGTGGCTATAAGAATCTGAGTGTGTGATAAAATGCTATAGAAATACACACATGCATGCACACAAACACAGAATATAAGACTAGTGTCTTATTACATATTGGGGCATGTAAGATTAGTGTCCTAGTTAGCTTTAATTGTCAACTTGACCTGACCTAGAGTCATCTGAGAGGAAAGCCTCGATTGAAGAATTGCATAGATCAGATTGGCCTGTGGGCATGTCTGTGAAGGATTGTTTTGATTATTAATTGATGAAGGAGGATGGCACCATCCCTAGGCAGGTGATCCCGAGTTTTATAAGAAAGCTAGCTAAGGGGCTGGGGAGATGGCTCAGCAGTTAAGAGCACTGTCTGCTCTTGGAGAAGACCTGGGTTTAGTTCCCAGCACCCACATGGTAGCTAACAGCAAGCGTCCATAACTCTAGTGCCAGGGGATCCAATACCTTCTTCTGGCCTCTGTAGGCACTGCATGACACAGGTGCACTTGCATACATGCAAGCAAAACACTGATACGTATAAAAAATTTTAATAAAATAAAGTAAAAATGAAAGCTAGCTAAGTACAAGGCTGTAAGTGAGCCTGAAAGCAGCTTTCCTCCTGGTTCCTGCCTCTGAATTCCTGTCCTGACTTCCCTCAGTGATGGACTGACTTGGAAGTATAAGGCAAATAAATTCTGCCTTTCCCTAAGTTGCTTTTGGTCAGTATTTTACCCCAGCAAGAGAGATCAGACTAGAGCAACTAGTAAGATTAGACTGAGGTCTGTAGCTTTTAATACTGTCATTTCCCTGATTTTTATATTGTACCAAAGTTATACAAGATCAGGCAGTTCCTTGAAAAAATTGAAGGCCATAGAGGGAGTTTGTACCACTTTTTGTAATAGTTCCAAATCTGTTATTATTTATTCAAAGGGAAAAATTAAAAGTACAAACCAACATAGCATATGATATGAAGCACAGTAAGTGCTTTCATAATAATCTATTTTTTTCTTAGATATGGTCTCATGTAGCCCAGGTTGATCTCAAGCTCTCTATCTAGCTAAGGGTAACATTGAACTTCCACTCCTCTTGTCTACACCTCCTGGATGCTGGAATGACAGGTGTGTGACCCCACACTCAATTTTATGGAGTGCTGGGGATCAAACCTAAGGCTTTATGCCATCTAGGTGAGCACTTCTACCCACTGAGCAACATCTTTAGCCTCCTTTTTAGTACTTTTTATTATGAATTATAATTGCATGTTCCACTTCAGGATTAACCAAGGCACTGAAATTATAAAGCAATTTATTCAGCATCCTGTCCTTTATACCTAGCAAACAGCAGGTACCTAGTAAGCATTTGCTGATCAAACCCAGGGCCGGGGGCTGGAGAGACACCTACATGGTTAAGAGCACTTCCTGCTTTTCCAGAGGACCCCAGCTCAGTTCTCAGTATCCACATTGGGTCACTCACAACTGTCAACTCCAAGAGATCCGATGCCTTATTCTGGCCTCTGTGGACACCCACATTCTGGTGGTACACATTCACACAAATGTGCACAGACACACACATATACACACACACACACACACGCATTCATATACAAAATAAACAAAAATAAATCCAAATCCAGGACATCAGGCATGTTACTCAGGTGTTCTGCCAATGAGTTATAAGTGTTGGGATTAGAGAGTGACTCACCATTTGGGACTTAATTTGAAGTTTTGGGGTGGGTTTTTTTTTTTTTTTTTTTTTTGTTCTTTTGGAGACAGGGTCTCCCTGTAGCCCCAGCTGTCCTGGAACTCGCTATGTAGACCAGGCTGGCCTCGAACTCACAGAGATCTGCCTGCCTCTACCTCTGAGTGCTGGGACTAAAGGCATGCGCCAACACACCTGGCTGTTCTTTCTTAAATTTTATTCATTTTAATTTTATACGTGGGCGTGTTTTGCCTGCATGTAAGTGAATTTGTGTGTAATGCCTGTGGAGACCATAAGAGGGCATTATATCCCCTGGAATGCAAGTCACAAACAGTTGTTAGCTGCCATGTGTGTGTTGGGAGCTAAACCTGGGTCTTTTGCAAAAATAGCCAGCGTTCCTAACTGCCTAGCCATCTCTCCAGTCCCTTAATATCAAGTTTTAAAGGAATGCACCATTTGTCAGGTGAGGAAACTGAGGCAGTCCAGCTCTTGGAAATTTTTTTCTTCTCCATGACCTTGGACTCAGGAACCTACTGTTACCAAGGGATTGGTGAACACAATCATCAGAGTACTCACTGTTGGGAGTAGAATCAGAAGTTCGATGAGTAAAACCTGCAAAGTGAAAAGGAGACAGAATCAAGATGCAAGACGGTGAGAAATGTTTGTTTAAGATGTAGCTGAGGTTCATTAACCCCATTTCCAACTTCAAGTCTACACAAACAGAATCTAGGTATCATTAAGACACTGATAGAAGTAAGGCTCAGAGTGTGGCCTGACACATAGGATGCAATGTAGGAGTTCCAATCCCACAGAAATATAATATAGACAGATATGGTGATACAGGTGATATAGACCTCTAATCACGTCACTAGGGTGGCTGAGGCCGAAGGATCACTTATTTGAGGATAGACTGGGTTATACTATAAGTTCCAGGCCAGCCTCAACTACATAGCAAGACCTACCTAAGAGCAAAACAAAGCAACAAACAAACAAGTCCCAACATCAGACTCTTAAATCCCCATTGGTTTCAGCCAAAGATGTTCTTTGATGTGGTTGGGGAAAGACTTTTGTGACTTAGATAAATATGTAGATAATGACTTTGTAATGCAGTGATACCTAGGAAAGAGAAGGGATTAAGACTCAGAGCTTTTGGATGCCCTCAACTCATCAGGAGGTTCGGGTTGAAAAGGGAACACAGGAAGGGTGTTGTGACTAAATAGAGAGCACATTCATCTTTTTAGGGGCAGAATATCATCTTCAGATTATGGTTCCTAAGAAGATGCTCACCATTAACATAAAGACTATCCTTTTCTAAGGTGAAGAATCCCAGATGGGTGACACCATGGGTCTGATGGTTCAGTTCCCAATACAGCTTCTCTCTGTCCATCACAAGGGCCATGGGATCAAGATGATGAGTACAGACTGCATCTACTCCAGTGGCTGTTCCATTTTTCTCAGGCCTGGTCACGGGAGAGATAGGAAAATGGGGAGGTAAAGTTTCCAGGCTATGGCCCAGAGAAGCCTCACTGAGGGAGATGACAGAGAATGCAAGTTCACTTGTGAGCAATCAAGTGGCCTTGGTACTAGAAAGGATGATGGCCAGCACAGCTCTGGTCCTTTAACAAAGAAGTCATAGCATCTACAAATGTATTTGTGCTGTCTTTTAACATGACATTTATTAATATGTCCTCACACGTCCTAACAACAGAGGTATGACAATGGGGTGGATAAACGGAATCTGAGAAATTTGATAAGGTGAAAGAAAGAAATTTCAACTGGCTTCACTGCCAATCATTGTGTGATGCTAGATACATTTCTCAGTGGTTCTACAGCTCATTTTTATGTGTGAAATGAGGCAACAGTGTAGACCTGTGCTGGTTAGCTTACCTGTCAATTTGACAGAACCTAAAATCACCTAGGCAAAGAATCTTAATCAGGAATTATTTAGATCAGATTGGTCTATGGGTGAGGCTGTGGGAAATTGTCTTGTTAGTTGACATAGGAAGACCCAGCCCACTGTGGACTGCATCATTTCCCAGGCTGGGCCTTGAACTATATAAGAGTGAAGAAAGCAAATAGCAGGCAGTGTGGGCGAATTGGTTTCTGGAGAGAAGCCAAATCTTGACTGTGGATAGGAGATGACCAGCTGCCTCAAACTCTTGCCGCTATGACTTCCCCAAGAGATGGGCTGTAACCTGGAATTGTGAGCCAAATTTTGGCCATTACTTTGTCAGTATTTTATCATAGCAACAGAAATAAAACTAGAAAACCCAAGAGTAAGTGCTCAATAAAAGCATATACCCAGGTCTCCTGAAAGGAAAAGAATAGGAACCAACATTTTCCAGTCTCAAAGGCTATAGTGGGAGTTGCCTCTGGGACACTAGGAACAAGATGTTACAGATAAACTTGTGGCCATCTCCTGCATGGCCTGTGTGTCTACTCATTTCTCACCTCAGCAAGGTCAGTCTGCAGCCAGAATAGAGAGGCCCAATACTGCTGTTCTCGAACAAGGGCCTGAGCTGGGGATAAAAGAGAAGATGAGCTGATGAACGAAGGAGCTGGCTAGAAGGCTGAGATGAGACAAGGTGGACATGAGAGAGCTCTGACCAGGCGATTCAAGATCCTCTCTGTGCTGTTGAATATCTCAGATCTGGGGGACCACATGTCCTCTATATGGTGCAGGTTGGTTATAGTGAAGTTGAGGGTGAAGGGTACCAGAGATAAGCTTGTACCTGTAGCAAAAGGGAAAAGCAGGGAGTTCATTAGCTGAAATAAACCTATTCTTCCTTAAGTCACTTTTTTCAAGGTATTTTATCATGGCAACAGGAAAAGAAACAAAGATTGGCTTGTGGGACTTATCTGAGGTAATCTGGCATGAGGTATTGTCAATTTTTTTGTGTGGAATGGTCTTTAGGGGGGGAAGATCCTGGGGATATTGGGATATCACAGGTTTGGGTACTCACTGTTGGTGGTAAGGGTCTGATATCGATGGTTATAACCTGCAGATGGAAGGAAAGAGTAACAAAGAACTATCATGATAGGTAAGCACTAAGAGTTGAAAGTGTTTGACGTGAAAGTGGAAGTCACCATGAAACCTTCTGAGATTCACAGATAAAAAATAATGCCTACATCATACTTGGTTTTTAATATGTATCTTGTCCTTTGATAATATTCATGTTGACTATCATCACCATTCATTTTGCTAAAATCATAAGCAATAATTGGGCTGGTAAGACGGTTCAGTGGATAAAGGTGCTTGCTGTGAAGACTAACAATCCGATTTCAATACCTGGGGTCTACATGGTGGAAGTACAGAAGAGTCACCCAAAAATTATCCAATTATCCTCTAACATGGACACCACTGCATACACACACACACACACACACACACACACACACACACACAAACACCTAGGGGTGGAGGGGAGAAGGGGGATAATATGTACGGCTTGTAATACTAAGGAAAATTTTGGTGAAATGGATGAGATATTGTAAAAGTGAAAACATGTGCGTCAGAGTCTGACAGGAACTGGAGAAAAAGTTTTTTTCAATGCTGGGGGTTTAACATAGAGCCTTGTGTATGTCAGGCGAACCCTCTACCCCCATTAAGACCTTTTCATGATTTCTCTGGATTATGGATTCCAGTTCTGATATTCTGAGAGATAAATGTAAAGATGAGATGTAGGAAAAGCCATGAAATATTCTACATACATTTCTATATGTCTCCTTTGATTATCAAAACAATGTTACATCTTGGTTTTATCCCTGAGGTGGTTTGAATGAGAAATGTTCCCCATAAGCTCCAGTATTTTGAAACCTCCCTAGTTGGTGGCATTGCTTGGGGAAGTTTAGAAGGTAGAGTTTGATGGAGGAAGTATGTCAATGGGGGTGGGCTTTGACAGTTCATACCTTCACCCACTTCCATTTCACTCTCTCTGCTTAGCATTAGCAGTTAGAAATATGATCTTCTACTTTCCTGCACCAGTCACCTGCTGCCATGCCCTCCCCTACCCATTATGGACCTTCCTTCTGGAACCCATAAGCCAAAATAAACTTTTTGTTATGTAAATTGCCTTGGTCATGGTATTTATAACAGCAACACAACATAACTAATACAATTCCACTCTACAAATGCAATCCCAAGGCCTGGAAAAGTTCCTAGGCATGTCAATCACCACATATACCATATCGGTCATTCACCAACAACTACACTCTGGACCAATATTCTCTGTTAGCTCCAATTTTTCAACAAACTTTCTGAGCTGGTTAATACTGATTATCAAATTGATAGGATCTAGAATCACCCAGGAGACAAACCTCCAGACATACTTATGGGGAATTATATCTAGATTAGGTTAGCCTCTGGGCACTCTTTTGAGGGATTATCTTGATTAAGCAAATTGACGTGGGAATACTAACTTAAATGTAGACAGCTCCCTTTCCTAGGCTCATGTTCTGGACTTACAAAAAGGAGAAAGCTAGCTGAATACCACAATTAGTTTTTCTGCCTACTCTGATTGTGGATATGATTCAATGAGTTGCTTTAAGCTCTACCTACTTTGGCTTTACCACCAAGATGGACTATACCATGAAGTATGAGCCAAAATAAACTCTGCTTCTGGGGCATAGAGGGACTTGTTAGTCTCCCTAGCTGAGGAGATATTGATGGTTGATGACTGCTAGGGGAGGGAGAGTCAATTTTCTTTAGGGGTGTGCTCCTTGGCCAGTCAGTCAAGCTACTGTGGATGACTCATATCCGTGCATCTATGGGAAGCACAAACTGGACTCAAGGGTTAAGAGGGGAAAAAAAGACGTAAAGTTGGATTGAGTGTATTAGTTACTTCTCTGTTGCTGTAATAGAAACACCATGACCAGAGAAATTTATAAAAGGAGGAGATTCTTGAGCTTACAGTCCATCATGGTGAGGAGGCACGGTGGCAGACGTGACTGGAGTAGGAGCAGAAGTTAAGCTCTTACATCTTTAAGCAGACACGGAAAATAGAAAGTGACTGGCAATGTGGCAAGGTATAAGAACTCTCTAAGCCCTTCCTCCAGTGGCGTGCTTCCTGGAGCATGGCCACACCTTTTAAGACCTCTCAAAACAGCACCACCAACTAGGGACAAAATGTTCAAATACTTGGGCCCACCCTCACCTCCTCTGCTTCTCTAAGCTGTACAACCCGCCAGCCTCTTTCCTGGACACTGGAGCTGACCCCTGGGCCTGGAACCACCACTGCTTCCTGATCCCTTGCATCCAGACGAACCCAGTTCCTTCTCACGGTCCCCAGGAGCCTTATGGGCTGGGTTCGGCCCTCACCTCCCAGTGTTTCCCTGGGCCTGCACAACCCACCACCCTCTCTCCTGGGTAAGTCCATCCCACCCTCCAGACCTTGACTCCCCCAGCCTCATTCACCCTCCCACCTCCCCCCAGCCTGTCTCTCCTCCTAACATGGGTACTGTTCCATTCCTTGTCTTGGCACCCCAGACACTGGGGGAATCACCACAGCTTCCTGATCCTTTGAATCCAGAGTAAACCATTTCCTTCCAGCAGTCCCCAGGAGCCCTTGGGGCCTCTTCCTGTCCTGATTTCCCTTTGCATCTCAGCATGGCATGGCCACCAGCTGCCCAATACCAGCATCTTTCTTGGGCCCTACTCCCAGGCTAGTCCAACCCCCAAATTCCTGAGGACAATATCTTTCCAGGAGGGATCCAGACCTTAGGAGAAAGCCTGAGAGCATCTGATCCTCATCTGACTTGTGCCTCTGTGGGAACTCCTGAAGAGAAAAGCAATCTGACCACTCCAACATAAAATCAAAAGAGAGAACTGGAAGCTCAGATGAACCAGCTTTTCACACCCAAAATGTAAACCACAAAGGCACATAAAGTTTACAAAAAGAAGCAGACCTAAACATGAAGGCTCAAGTCTCACACAAGAATCAGAAACTACAAAAGAATTTCACATGTCAAAATCACAGAGAAAAAGATAACATGAAAAGCCAAAATAACATATGCCCAACAAATACCAATAGACCTCTAGAGGAGCACAATGAGAACCCCCTAGAGATAGTGCAGGACCTGGAACTCAAAAGAACAATCATAAACATGATAAAAGAAATCAGTGAATTTAAAGAACACACAAAGAAATCAAAGAAGTGAAGGAAGATAGGGATAAAGTTCTCAATGAATTCAGAAAAGCTAGAAATATTGAAGAATACTCAGGCTGAAATGAAGAAGGAAGTGAAACACTCAGTAAGCCAGTTAGAAACAACAGAAGACAGCCTCACCAATAAGATGAATGAAGTGGGAAAGAGAATATCAAGACTGGAAGATAAAGTGGATGAACTAGACCACTCAGACAAAGATTATGAAAAATGTAAGAAAGCAAAAGAATGGAATATGCAGGAATTGTGTGATACCGTAAAAAGACCAAACTTATGAACTACAGGCATACAGGAAGGAGAAGAATCACAAGATAATGTCATGGACCAGATCTTCAATAGAATCGTGAAACAAAACTTCCTAAACTTAAAGAAAGATATGCCCATACAAGAAGTATATAAAACACCAATCAGACAACAAAAGAAAAGAAACACTCCATGGCACATCATAGTAAAAACACTAAATGTACAAAACAAAGAGACAATACTGAAAGCTGTAAAGTCACATATAAAGGAAAACCCATTAGAATTACAGCTGACTTTTCAGTGCAAATTATGAAAGCCAGAAGAGCCTGGACTAAAGTATTCCCAGTTATAAATGACCACAGATGCCAACCCAGACTACTATACCCAGCCAAAATGTCTATCATAGATGAAGGGGAAAGATAAATCTTCCATGACATAAACAGGCTGAAGGAATTCATGTCCACAAAACCCACCCTTCAGAGAGTTCCAGAAGCAATACAAAGAGCTGAAGAAAGGAATGACGATACCCAAGGGGTTGAGGAAAGAAATTCAATGAAGGAATAACTGCGGAAAAGTAAAGCTATATCAAGAATGTGAACAGAAATAAAATTGACAGGAATTCAATACACATCTTTCATTAATAACTAAATATTAATGGACTGAACTCCCCAGTCAAAAGACACAGACTAAGTGAATGGATTAAGAAACAAAACCCATCTTTTTGTTGTCTGCAAGAAACTCACCCACTTTTAAGGGCAGGCACTATCTTAAGGTGAAAGGATGGAAAAAAAATATACCAAGCGAATGGTATGAAGAAAAAAGCAGGTGTTGCAATTCTAATATCTGACAAGATAGAATTTAAAACTAATCAGAAGAGATAAAGAGGGCCACTTCATTCTGATCAAAGGAGCAATAAACCAAGAAGACATTACAATCATGAACATATATTCATCAAAGAGGCACTATCTTAAGGTGAAAGGATGGAAAAAAAATATACCAAGCGAATGGTATGAAGAAAAAAGCAGGTGTTGCAATTCTAATATCTGACAAGATAGAATTTAAAACTAATCAGAAGAGATAAAGAGGGCCACTTCATTCTGATCAAAGGAGCAATAAACCAAGAAGACATTACAATCATGAACATATATTCATCAAAGTCTCTGGTGCACCCAACTTCATCAAAACAATACTACAGGACCTTAAGACCCAGATTAACCCCAACTCATTAATAGTAGGGGACTTCAATACACCACTGTCTCCATTAGATAGGTCAACAAGGCAGAGAAGAATCAGACCACAATGCAATAAAGCTTACTATCAACACTGGAAGAAGCCCTAATGACCACATGAACACATGGAGATTAAACAACACACTCCTGAATGATGAATGGGTCAAAAGAGAAATTAAGAAGCCGGGCATGGTGGAGCATGTCTGTAGTCCCAACACTTGGGAGGCAGAGGCAGGCAGATCTCTATGAGTTCAAGGCCAGCCACAACTCAACTACATAGTGAGTTCCAAGACAGCTGGGGCTACAGGGAGACCCTGCTTCAAAAAGACAAAAAAACCAACCAAACAAACAAACAAACAAAAAACC